TGAAAGGTATTCCAGTGGTTCTGAATGATGGTTGTTCTAGTCTTGGTCCTGGCCAGTGGACGGGTCATAGTTTAGTTCTCAAACCCTTGGAGAATGATCGATATTATAGTCAGGTTCATGTGTGCTCAGCTCAGGGGTGAGCTCAAGAGATCACACACAACTTTTTAAGCTTTCATGAACTCCCTCCTTTCTGTGATTTGACATTTTTTGTTGTTGTTCCTAAGGACACCACCTTCCTGGTGGTTTGGCTGGAAAGCTAGGGCTTTTGTTTCCTTATACTTCAACACATTTTCACAACTATGTCAGCCTCTTTGGCCAAACTGCAAGTGTGTAAAGGATAAAAGAAATGGGGATTCTCCTCTTTCTACTTGGAACTAAATTTTTTCTGTCAAAGAATAAGGTTTTGAGAGCTTTGGGAGCTGCCTGGGCTGCTGTCATTGGCTCCATTGCTACACTGGTATTGTTTGGGGCCAAAAAGCCCAAGGGATTGACTTCCTCCACTCTCCTTACCCATAGGAGCCCCCTTTCCTGCTCCTTAGACCAGAAACGGAAGGCTTCTCTGGAGCTTTTTCTTGGTGCATCTGGGCGCCACTTTAACTTTTGAGTCCAGACTGGAGACACTGGGAAACTTGCCTCCAGTATGGCGGTACTTCGAGTTCTGGTTTCCATTTTCCATCTGCCTGGTGCCATTTATGTGTTCAGATTCTCATAGACATTTCTCCAGTGTTTTTAGTTGCATTCTGTGGGAGAAATGGAGTGGAGCGTGCTTATTTCATCTTGCGCTACTTTGTATTTCAAATCAAATCAAAGGATAATTTTTTTTATATGGATTTGCATTTTTCACCTGAGAAATCAAATACATTAGATAGATGCTGGTTTAATGCTTGCCTCTAGTGGTTCCTATTTTTATTGTATTAAAACCTTGAGCTATAGAAGGTGGCCATATATTAACATCTCATATTTATTCTTAAGCCTTTTCTGGAGCCTAGAAATTCCTAATTTTCTCTTGGTTCCAGCTCTCATTTTTAATAAAGAATAGAAAGTCTCTTTTTAAAAAAAATATATTTTATTGATTTCAGAGAGGAAGGGAGAGAGAGATAGAAACATCAATGATGAGAGAGACTCATTGATTGGCTGCTTCCTGCATGCCCCCTACTGGGGATCAAGCCCACAACCCAGGCATGTGCCCTGACTGGAATTGAACCCAGGACCCTTCAGTCCGCAGGTCAATGCTCTCTCCACTGAGCCAAACCAGCTAGGGCGAAAGTCACTTTCTTGAATAAACCTTTTTATATTTGCACATATCACTCAGTTGGCCTTGGGTTTTCTGAATTTGTCCTTGTAACTTCTTTTACCAGTGAAGGGATTTGTAATGACCTACTGTTTTTGTAACTGAAGATCAATACTAAGAACTCAAAAGCAGTGTATAGTTTCATTTGAGTAACTTCTTTAGGATATACTGATGTTTTATACTTCCTTTAAATAGATGCTACGTTTTAGGATATTCATTCATTGTAGGAGAGGTTAACAAAATAATTTCTTCTGAGCTGAGTTGACTTTTCAGAAATGTATTGATTTTGTATTTTGCTAATACACATTCTCCTTAATGGCCACTTATTTGGCTGACTAATGTATGGTCGTTAGGAATACGCTTGCATGCTCCTTGTGCTGGAGCTTCATTTCCTTAGTTATCTTCTCTACTTTAAGTTGTCTTTATCATAAGACATCTTCCGTCTGACTACAAAAAAATTCCTGACCTCAGGTTTTTTTGTTTTGTTTTGTTTTTGTTTTCATAAAGATGCTGCTAATAGACCCTGGCCAGGTAGCTCAGTTTTTTGAGAGCACTGTCCTGATACACCAAAGTTGTGGGATCAAAACTTGGTCAGGGCACATACAAGAATCAACCAATGAATACATAAGTAATTGGAACAACAAATCAATGTTTTATCTCTCTGTAAAAATCAGTAATTAGCCGTAACTGGTTTGGCTCAGTGGATAGAGCATTGGCCCAGGTTTGATTCCAGTCAGGGTCACATGCCTGGGTTGTGGGCTTGATCCCCAGTAGGGGGCATGCAGGAAACAGCTGATCAATGATTCTCTCTCATCATTGATGTTTCTATCTCTCTCTCCCTTCCTCTCTGAAATCAATAAAAATATTTTTTTAAAAAAAGAAATTTTCTATTCTTTATTAAAAATGATTAAACTTGATTCTCTCTCATCATTGATGTTTCTGTCTCTTTCTCCTCTCCCTCTCTGAAATATAAATAAATAAATAATTCAATGAGTAAACATTTTTAAAAAGATACTGTTGCTAATAATTTAAAATAGAAAAAATGTAATATATGAGGTAAATTTAATCTTTCAATAGATATTTTTGGTAAGTTTATTCTTTCAACAAATATTTATTAAGCACCTATTATGTAATACCAGATACCAAGGGTGCAAAAATAAATGAAATTTCACAGATTGGACATTCAGGAAAATTTTTGACCATTGCATGAAGTATAGTCCAAAGAACTTCTGGATCCAGAAAAAGGGTAGTGAAATCTCGTTCTGTGTTTCTGAAATAAAATATTTTATTTATGGATATTAAAATGTCTTTTAATGAATTTAATCCCCAGAAATGTGCTTAAAAAAAATGTAAAACTTTGTACCTAATCTTAGAGGAAAAGCTTTTAGTTTCTCACCACTGAGTATGATGTTAGCTGGGAGATTATATATGGCCTTTATTGTGTTATGGTAATTTCCTTCTAGTCCTAGTGTGTTGAGAGTTTTAAATTATGAAAAGAGTATTGCATTTTGTCACATGCTTTTTCTGTATCTGTTGAGTTGGTCATGTGATTCCTGTTTTTTTAAGATGTTTTATTGAAATTTTTAAGAGAGCAAGAGAGAGAGAAACATCAATGTGAGAGTGCAACATCAGTCATCTGCCTCCTGCACAACCCCCCCTACCGCGATTGAACCCACAACCTGGTTATGTGCCCTGACCAGGAATCAAACCTGTCTTTTGGTGTATGGGACGATGCTCAACCAACTGAGCCACACCAGCCAGGGTAGTAATAATCTGTTTTAAACTGATAACAACTTAACTTTAATCACATACAAAAACTCTATGCTTTTACTTCTCTCTGGTCCCCTCCTCACTCCAGCATTTTTTGACTCAAATAAATAATTTTAATGTTTTGTATATAAGTTTCTTTTCTATAAAAATAGGAATAAGCTATTCTGCTAACCCACAGGTTCTCAAAGTGTGGTTGCACACCTATAGAGGGTCCCTGAGACATTTTCAAGGGATCCATATGATCAAAATGATTTCTACAACAATTCTGTTATTTGTCTTTCAAAAAAATATTTTATTTATTTATTTACTTATCAATTTTGTACTGGTTGCCATGGTATTTGTTTTCTTTTTACATATATATATTATTTTATTGATTTCAGAGAGAAAGGGAGAGACAGACAGAAACATCAGTGATGATAGAGAATCATTGATTGGCTGCCTCCTGCACTTCCTCCCTCCTCCTCAGGGATCAAACCCACAACCCAGGCATGTGCCCTGACTGGGAATTGAACCGTGACCTCCTAGTCCATAGGGCAATACTCAACCACTTAGCCACGCCTGCCAGGTTGTCTTTTGACTCTGTTAACATTGGCAATAGTGGTGGGAAGGCAGCTGTGGGAAGACCTGCTGGCATTGAACCACATGTACTAGTGGTCACTGTGCTGCCACATACTCTTAGGAAAACGGAGTGCCACCTTCACTCACGGTGTCTTTGGAGAAGTAGATAATTTTATTAAACCTAAACCCTGTTTAATATGTGTGATGTGGGAAATATGCAGAAGCACTCTGCATACTGAAGCATACACTTGTGGTAAGGTAAAACACGTGTAGTTAGTTGTTTTTGTGAGTTAAAGTAGCTGCTTTTTAATGGAATACGATTTTTACTTGTAAGAATGACTATTGTCAAACAACAGTTATTCAGACTTGGATGTTTGGCAGACATTTTCTTGGGAATGAATGGAGTAAACTTGTTATTCAAGAAGAACAACTGACAGTATTTGTTGCCCAATGGTAAAAATTAAAGCTTTTTAAGTGAAAATTAGAATTTTGGAAAGTTTGTATTCACCGCTGTGTGCTTTGACAGCTTTGAAGAGTGTTCCAGCAAGATCATTGGTGATGCTAATGATGTGATTTCTTTTCTACCCTATATGATGCAATGTTTCAATATTTGGGAAATCTGCATAAGCCAGTAAACCAATATTTTCCAAAATATTTGGAAATATATGATGTTACAAAATTATGAGTAAAAGACCAGTGAATTTTAATATCTAGACATAAAACATAAACAAAAGCTCATTAGGGTCCTCAGTAATTTTTAAGATATCAAAGTCCTGAGAATATGAAGTTTGAGATTCATTGTTTTAACATTAAAGGGTTTTAAAGGTCAAATGAATGTAATATTCATGAATATTAAATCATTTGTAAAATATTTTAAATGTACATTTAGAAATAATTTTTGAGCTCCTGCTGTTATATTGCTGTGCAAATCCTTCAAGCTCAGACTTTGAAGAGACCTGGAAAGAGAACATGCATGCATCATTGCTATTGAGGAGCTTGTTCGCTTAGATGAGGAGTAGGGAATTCACATATAATTCCTGTGTTCCACAAACCAAATAGTGAAAAAGTGATAATATGATGAGGCTTGTTTTGTCCTAAATATACTTTTACTAGTATATATGCTTATATTTGTAATATATATGTATGCATATACACATACTTCTCTTTGGATCAAACCCGCAACTAAGGCATGTGCCCTGACCGAGAGAAGACCCATGACCTCTTGGATCATAGGTGCGTGTGTGTGTGTGTGTACACGTGCACGTGCACATGCATGTATGCTTGGGCTCACAGCAAACCTAAGCCCTGCTGTTCATGAATATAGTCCATTATTGTTCAAGTTGCGTTTTGGTTTTTGAAGTTTTCCCTTCTTCCCTTGCAGGTATAGAACAAGATGCAGTGAATACTTTTACCAAATATATATCTCCAGATGCTGCTAAACCAATACCTATTACAGAAGCAATGAGAAATGATATCATAGGTAAGCAGTGCTTAAAGTTACGGCCAAAAAAAAAGTTGCCTGTTTTTGGTTTTTGATTAAGAGAATTTTTTATGAACATGGAATGTAATATACCCTTCCTAGTTTGTTTTCAGATATCTGGCTGTAGCTCACTCACAAACTTTCTCTCATATGTTAGACCAAATTCTTAGACTTCGATTTGAATAACAACAGCAAGAACAATAATATCACACATTTATTGAGTATTTATTGTGTCCCAGACAATATTCTAAGTACTTCTCACAGATAAACTCATTTACTCTTCTAAAGACTCTTGCAGCCCTAGCCGGTTTGGCTCAGTGGATAGAGTATTGGCCTGCGGACTGAAGGGTCCTGGGTTCGATTCCTATCCGGGACACATGCCAGGGTTGCCACCTTGATCCCCAGTAGGGGGTGTGCAGGAGACTGCCAATCAATGATTCTCTCTCATCAATGATGTTTCTATCTCTCTCTCCCTCTCCCTTTTCTAAAATCAATAAAGATGTATTTTTTTTAAAAAGGAATCTTGCAGCATAAATATAGTTGTCCTATATAATAAAAGCCTAATATGCAAGTTGTCCCCTTGACTTGGAGTTCAATCGGGAGTTTGACCAGGGGGGAGGGGCCGGCTGGCCAACTGCCTGTGGTTCCTCCCCACAGCTGGCCTGGCCCAATTGGCCCCAATCGGGGTGAGCCAGCCAGACCCAACCCGTGCACGAATTTGTGCACTGGGCTTCTAGTTGTTTTATAAGTGAGGAAACTGAAGCATAGAGGGTAAGTAGTTTTCCTAACTTAGTAGAGCTCAGACATGGTAGCGGGATTTGAAACCAGACCCTCACATGTTAAGTAGTATGGTCTTGGCAGTGTTTTTCAAACTGTGTATTGCGATCAATCTCTATGTCCTCATCCCATTGCCAAAAAAAAAATACTAGAATAGAAAAATCAAAATCCTTCATTATAGTATGGCTAAAATAACATCATTTCAGGAAATTATTTCCATTATGTGTGTGTGTGTGTGTGTGTGTGTGTGTGTGTGTACTGAGCCACATAAATATGTTGCTCTGTAAACCATAGTAAAAAAAAAAGTTTGGAAGCCTTACTGTGTTGCATTAGCAAGGCTTAGATGTACTTGTAATCACAGACAAAAGTGGTTCATTTATTCGTTGAACAAATATATTCCCATCAAGTCCTAGTAGTAAGTTTTGTATATTTTTTTTATTTTATTGATTTTTTACAGAGAGGAAGGGAGAGGGACAGAGAGTTAGAAACATCAATGAGAGCGAAACATTGATCAGCTGCCTCCTGCACACCCCCTACTGGGATATGCCTGCAACAAGGTACATGCCCTTGACCGGAATTGAACCCGGGGCCCTTTAGTCCACAGGCCAACGCTCTATCCACTGAGCCAAACCGGTCAGGGCCAAGTTTTGTATTTTTATTACCAAAAATTGTACTTGTGATTTATGAAATAGAGCATGTTATTCTGTTCCTAGCAGATTCTTCCCAGTGTGAGGTTCTTTCAGTCTTTACTGTAGGTCCTTTGCACTCACTCATTTTTGAAGACAGCAACATGTCCTCCAGTCGCAGCTGTGGCTCTTACTTGGCCTACCATACTTTCTAGTGAACAACTTTTGGCTATTTTGGGGTCCATCAAATGCCTGCATTGTTTTCCCACACAGATTCCTCTAACACAGGTCTTAATGACTCTTGGCGATCTGTCCTTATCTGCTTATATTTTGGGATTTTCCACCCAGTTTTATTGCAGAGTTGTCATGGCATTTTGGTTTTTCTGTGTAGTTCCTTTGTCTATTTTTATGTAGGAATTGTTGCTCCCATCTTCCAGACTTCCCTAGACTGACTTTTTCTAATAATACAACTGGGGTGTCTTACCTGATTAGAATTTGACTGTGTAAGGGATTGGTTGTTTGTACCAGTTGATAACCAGGCTGGGATAGGGAGAAAAGGAAGGAGTTTTGAGCCGAGTAAAACATTTGAAATGAAATGTCATTGCAATTCTAATTTTCCTTCTCTTAAACTTTATCAAATTAATGATGTTTCCATCCAGTGTCTGTTATGCATTTTTAGATGTTAATTACATATATATCTTTATAGAGCAGTCACTTTTACTTTTTGAAATTCATTCTTCTGAATCCTGTCCTAATTATTTGTCTCCTGTTTCAGGTGGAATATTTTAATATAGCTGTATTTTAAGTTATCATTTGAAGAGTCCCCACTTTAGCTATTATTATTCTGTGTTGCACCAGCCTAATTTTATTGTAAATGTTAACAGTGGGTTTTTGATGTTGCTATCTAATTACTCTGTCTTTATGTGGGGATTCAGAATAACACCAAAACTATACTACCACAGCCTCTTCCGTTTTCCACAAATCCTTGAAGTTGTCAAATATTTTTATTATTTTGTTATTTTCACCTGAAGATATTTTTTCCATTGCTTTTCAGAGAGTGGAGGGGAAAGGGAGAGACACGACTGGTTGCCTCCCGCACAAGCTTCAATGGGAAGGAGTGGGAGTGGGTAGTGAACCCGCAACCCAGGTACGTGTTTTTGATCGATAATTGAACCCCCAACCTTTCAGTGCACAGGCTGACACTCTAACCACTGAGCAACACTAACCAGGCAAGTTGTAGAATTTTAAAAAAACTTTGAAGGTACAGCTGACAGAATTTGCTATTAGTTTGGAAGTGAGTGGTGTGAGAGGAAAGAACGAATCAAGCATGACTGAGTACCTGGGAGAGTGGAGTTGCCATTTATAAGATGTGGGGAAAATCAGGAGTTTGGGTTTTAGACATCCAAATGGCAGTTGGACATCAGCATTAGGAGTTCATGAGAGAGGTCCAGGTTGTGGAGATTTATGTTTGAAAATATCAGCATAAATGGGTTCAGAGTCATGAAACTGGATTACCATCGTACTGAGTGTAATGAGTGAAGACAAGAGGTCTAAGGACCCAATTCTGGGACAGGCGTAACATTTAGAGTCTGTGAGATGAAGAAGAACTAGCAAAGTGACTAGCCATTAGTATCAAGAGAGAAGTTTTTCCTGGAAGTCAAGTGAAAAATGTTCCTGGGAAAAAGGGAGTGATCAAAGGTATTAAATCGTGCTGATAAGTTAAGTAAGATGAATAGTGGGAATGGAATGGATTTGGCAACCCTATGGGCAACTGGGCCCCTAGTCAGCTTAATTAGAATGGACCTTTGGAGGATCTTAAAGAATGGAAGGAAGAATGAAGACAGCAAAGATGGGCAACTCTTATGAGGCATTTTGCTTTAAAGATGAGCTGAAAGGGATGTTAAGCCAAGGAACAATGGTTTTTGTTTTTTATTTTTAAGGTGATGTGTTATAAACATACTAGAGGCCCGGTGCACAAAATTCGTGGGGGGGGGGGGTCCCATAGCTTGGCCTGCACCCACTCTAATCCAGGACCCCTCGGGGGATGTCCAACTGCCTCTTGCAATCCAGGACCACTGGCTCCTAACCACTTGCCTGCCTGCCTGCCTGCCTGCCTGCTCACCTGCTCACCTGCTCGCCCCTAACCACCTCTGCCTGCCTGTCTGATTGCCCCTAATTGCTCCCCTACTGGCCTGATTGCCCCTAACTGCTCCCCTGCTGCCCTAATCGCTCCTAACTGCCTCTTCCTTGCCCCACACCTGGGACCCAGGATTCCCTCCTCTGGCCAGTCACAGGCACCCGGGACCCAAGCTTCCCTCCCTCTGGCTGGCCGCAGGCACCCAGGACCCGGACTGGCTTCACCTGGGCCGGCTGCAGCTGCAGGGAACTATGGGCGGGCGGCTTGTTCCTCTCCTGGGCCGCAGCTTGACTGGTCCCCATTCCTCTCTCCCGTGTTGAGTGTCTGAGCTGTTACAGTGTGATGACCATTTGCATATTAGCTCTTTATTATATAGGAGGAGTATAAGTTGTATGATAGCATACAAACAAGTGTAGACTATATATATCGCTGGTGAGAATAAGGCAATAACGAAGAACATTTTGATGTAAGAGAAAAGGGGGACAGTTGCTGTAGGAAAGAAGTCTTGAAAAAGCAAAAGAGGATGAGGTCCAGTGCTCAAATAGTTACTCAGATAGGAGTGAGGACAGTATATCTGTAGTAACAGGACAAATGGGTAGAGGTGCAGGTTGGTTGATAGATGTGGTGAGAAGTAATAGAAATAATTTTCTGATTGCTTCTGTTTTCTTAGTGAAGTAGGAAGCAAAGTCATCAACAAAGAGAATAGGGGAAGAGGTGTTAAGACATTCCAGGAGAGAGGGTAAGATGTGCCCTGTATTGTCTAGGACCGTGGTCGGCAAACTGCGGCTCGCGAGCCACATGCGGCTCTTTGGCCCCTTGAGTGTGGCTATTCCTAAGCCTTAGGAGTACCTTAATTAAGTTAATAACAATGTACCCACCTATATAGTTTAAGTTTAAAAAATTTGGCTCTTAAAAGAAATTTCAATCGTTGTACTGTTGATATTTGACTCTGTTGACTAATGAGTTTGCCAACCACTGGGCTAGGAGAATATGAGAGTAAATGGACCAGGAAACTGTAGTACAATCATTGGTTTCATTAAGGCCCCACTGAGGTCATGAACTTAAAGTGAAACCAGCCATCATGGTTGTATGAGTTTTTTTAGCCATGTTTAATAGCTAATCAGCCCTAACCGGTTTGGCTCAGTGGATAGAGCGTCGGCCTGCGGACTGAAGGGTCCCACGTTCAATTCCGGTCAAGGGCATGTACCTTGGTTGTGAGCACATCCCCAGTAGGAGGTGTGCAGGAGGCAGCTGATCGATGTTTCTCTCTCATCGATGTTTCTAACTTTATCCCTCTCCCTTCTTCTCTGTAAAAAATCAATAAAGTATATTTTTAAAAAAATAGCTAATCAGGTTATTGATGTGCCACAGTTTATTTAGGCAGTTCCTAATGATAGCATATTTTATGTTTTTAAATTTCAATTGAATAACATTTTGATAAACTTTTTATTGAATTTGTT